GAGCCACAGCAAACACACGCAGAGGAGCCGCGGCATCCCTCAGCCCGCCGCCCAGCCGGCCTCGCGCGCCAACGGCTGCACGGCCCCTGCGCATGCGCCCCAGCAGGCTTGCGCCTGCGCGCCGCTGTAGGTCTTCAGAGCGCATGCGCATCCCGCACCTTGTGTCTCGTGCTGGCTGGCAAGCTGCTTCCCGTAAATACTCAAACTGCCTGAAGGTAGTGCCTGTGTCTGCCCCCTGGTACCTCAGGGCCTCACGCCTAGTTGGCAGTGAAATATGCTGAAACATATGTGTATATGTGTGTTTTATTTTTTAATTAATTTTTTTAATTCAAAACATTACAGATGTCCCCTTTTCTCCCTATTGACCCCTTCCATCCCCTCCCCACCCCCCTCCGCAGTGTGAATGTGTATTTTAAAGTTAGATTCAAAGCTTCTTTGAAAATTTCTACCCATTCCGCAGGGAGAAACGGGCCTAGGGTACCTGGGATGATAATCTGGTTCTTTCGGTTATAGATTATAGAGGACTGCCTAGTGCCAGATTGTAACTAGCCTGGGACAGGGATCCATAGAGGAAATGCCTTCTGAGAATAACAACATTTTGTTAAATAAGGAGGGAAGGGGCAGGAAATTGTAGCACAGTCCCTACGGGTGGCTTTGTCACTTTGAATGAAATGTTAGTGCGCCGGCTGTGAAGGACGCACCACCAGCCACAAGGGGGCGGCCGAGGCCGCCTCGGGAGCAATAGGTGTAAGGACGACAAAACCCCAGAGAGGCGCCAGCGGGTGTCAGTGATAGTCTCCACTTCCCTTTACATTTTTATTTTTCTCTCCCCCTCCTTTCTGCCTCCTGACTGTCTTTTTCTCCATTTTCCCTTCCTCCAGCTTTGCCGTGCTTCCCAGTGGCATCCGTGAGTGCTGTTAAATTAACTGGCAGTCAGATGTTTTTGAAGGTTGATGTGATTTGATTAGCACAATTTCATTGTCTTCCTTGAAAAACAAACATCCAAACTACAGTGGGCCACGAGTCCTAGTCAAAACGTTATCAGCGAAACCCTGTGAGAAAGGAGAATATTTGTTATACCGAGAGGAAGATAAACCACCTCTCAAGCAGTGTGTGTCAGAAACTAGCAAATCTGATTTATACTCTCATTCTCTTTGCACTGTTTTGTATTTCTTCATACCATTCATTACAAACACAGTATATATTTTACTTCTCTATGTGTTTATTATTTGTCTCCTCCTACCAGAAGGTGAGCTCCATGCAGGCAGTGATTTTGTTTTGTTTACCTTGACATCATTTGCCTTGAACAGTGCCTGGCACATAGTTGGTTCTCAGTAATAATTTAATGTTAATAATTATAATTATATTAATAACAAATAAATGAAATGTTAATATCAACAATCACATAATATTTGGTGAATGAATGAAAGAATAACTGAATAAGCTTCCTAAGAATTGACTACTTGTTCCTTTATATCCTATTTTATACTTATGTCATAATTATAGTTCTTTGTTGCACTATAGTGAATTTTGAAAAAATCATGTAATTATCTCTTCTCTATTAGTTGTAAGCTCATTGAGGAGTGGAACTTTTTTTTCTTCTTTTTTTTAATGTCCAGATATACCTGCTTTATTTCTTACTAGGTGATTGCATTTCAGGCTGGTGACAGCAAGTAAACAGTCTAATTACCAACTAATTTTGTACTTATGAACTACAAATCAACAATTCATTTCGGCAAGGAGCTAATTGGGGGCTGCATGTTCCAAATAAATGGTCTTGCCTTCAGAGTGTTGTGAGTGGAGCCAAGGGCAAGGCCTGAGATTGCTTTAAAGACCCTGACATCTGGTTGAGAGAGGCTAAAACCCTGCAAGCCCCTGGGTGAAGCCCTCCATCCCAAGTGCTAAGGACACAGATGTTATTCTGCTTTTTGTGATCAGTTCAGCCCAAATACGGAGCCAAACTACCAGGACCTAGAAAAGAGGATCCAAGGCCTACTCTTCATTGACATGTCCTCTCCCCTCAGTCCCACCCTAGGACACAGCTTTTTCTGCAGGTTCTTAGGAAAAGTTAGGCTTCTCGTAACTAGCCTCTTTTTAGTTCTGCTCTGAAGAGAAAAGGAATGACGGGTAACCAAAGGTGGGCACAGGCACCTCCGCAGAACTCCAGTAGTGCCAGGCCCAGAGCTGGGCTGAGTCAGAGGGTCTGCACTGGTGAGGTGGTGCTCCTCTAAGAACCAAAGCCAAGTGTATCTTGGGAAGATGCCCAAGGGGATGAATTTATTAACAAAAGTGCAAGCTAGTAGGGGCTGTTCATAAGAGAAGGCAGAAACTTAGAGAAGGTCAGAATCAAGGAAGAAAGACAAGGAAAGAATGAGAAACTCTTATCCTATGGCAGGAGCTCAAAGTAAGCAGTTACTATATGAGTCACCAGAAAACACAAACTTCCTTTGAAATCCAAGATCCCCTGCCCAAGAACCAACTGACAAGCTAGTGTTTTTCCCTCAGACCAAGACAAACTAAGTCGCCTAGAAAAGGATTTCTCACCAGAAGCTCTAAGCCAGTATCTAACGATGGGGCCCTTTCCCTGCTCCACCTGTGTCACTGAACTGCGAGCCAGAGCGCAGTGCACGGTCCCTTCATGCTCACCGGGCAGAACACCTTGGCAAATACTTCACCAGGAGCTAGTGACTGAGAGTGAGTGAGGCAGCCCCAGCTCTGGCCAGGTTACAGCAGCCCTGTGAATCCCAAGCAGTCTCCAAAGATGATGGGTTCTGCTGCTGAGAGTATGCGCACCCGAGGGTACTAGCTGAGGAGTTAATAGAGGAAACAAGGCACCATGGAGAGGTTGGATACTTGGGTTGTGTGATTCAGGACACACCAAAAAAGTCCATGGATGTAAGGAAGGAAGGGGAGGAAAAGGAGGAGAAGACTTGAGTTTTAAATAACGTCTCATGAGGCTGGAGCCCCACACAATGGGTGCTGGGTTGAGCGTTGGTGCTAGTGATTCTCAGAGGCTTCCACAATGGCAGGGGTGATCTCCATGTCGGTCAGGTACTCGGCCTGGGCTGACATGTCCAGTCTGGTGAAAAAGGGGCAGCCTCTGGCAGGTTGGTGTCATCTCACAGGGAGTCAGTCATATCATCCTTCCCCTCCACTAAGAACAGAAGCAGCACCTCCTCCTCTTTGGCTTTGTACTTGATCTTTTCAGCTATTGACTGGATCAACTGCTTGGCCTCCTCTGACTTCCCATCATTCTCAGAATCTACAAAAAGATGAGGCAGAGGCCCTCGGTGAGCTCACGGTGTTGGAGTCAGGCGGCTCCAGCATGCGCATGGGATGCCGCAGGAACTCCCTGCAGTCCCAGTCGTCCTCGGGCACCTCCACTCGCCCCTGCCCATCCTGCAGGATGAGGGAAGGAATGCCTTGGACTCCATACACTCTGCTGGGCCTCCTTGGTGTAGGGGACAGGGAACCAGGGCATGTCACTCAAGTTCTGTTTGAATGAGTCCTCTGATCTGTCTGCACTAACAAGGATGATCTGAAATTTCTGGCCTGCCTCCTTGATCTTGAGGTAGGATTCCACCAGGACCCGGGTGAGGTTTCGGCAGAGGGGACCCCATTGTGCGGAGAAATAGACTCCCACGTGAGACCCCTCCAGTCTGCTGCTCTCCAGGGACTGCCCCTTATTTCTAAGCCAGGGCCTTGCAGTGACTTCCCTGCAGCCTTTAGGGTCCCAAGGGAATTCCAAACCATCTGGGTGGTCACGGATCACCAGCCCATAGGTGGTAGAGTCTAGGAGTAATAACGGTGGAATGTCGGAAATTAGGTATTTGTTCCAAAGTGGAAGCTGCCCGTGCCCTTGGAGGGCAGCACCAGCCACAGCGTGCCCCGCGGGAAGTCCCACCACTGCCGCTGGTCCAGGTTCCAGGGCCCAAAGACCATCTCCAGACAGCTTCGGGGGCGCCAGCTACGTGCGCCCAGGGTCTGGCTCTGGCCCGGCCGCCCAGTCTCCACCCCC